CAGACGGAAGTGCTAACCATTTAGCCACTGTGCTGCCCACAGTCCTAGACACACTCCTAAACCTTGTGGACAGCCTTCCCAGAAGAGTTTATTTATTTCAGGTACTTATATAGCACCGACCATTTACGCAGCGCTTTACACACACACACATATTGTACATTCACATCAGTCCCTAACCCTCAAGGGACGTACAATCTAAGGTCCATAACTCACATTCATACATACACATCCTAGGGACAATTTAGACAGGAGCCAATTAACCTACCAGCATGTCTTTGGAGTGTGGGAGGAAACCGGAGTACCCAGAGGAAACCCACACAGGCACAGGGAGAACATGCAAACTCCAGGCAGGTGGTGCCATGGCTGGGATTCGAACCGACGACCCTAGTACTGTGACGAACGCGGCGTCAGACCCCTGACCTTCTCACCAAACTCATGACCAAAGGACCAGCCAATCTAAAACCACGATGTCATGTGCGTAACAATGCCATGCCCAGCTGCACCCTGCACAACGATTTTCCAGCTAATTGGACCACAATCGATGTACCGGCAGCCTGGGAGCGATTGTTACTGGATCAGGTTAATTACGCAATTAACCCTTCACACTGCCACCACCTCCTTTTTGCACAGAGAAAGAGAAAACTTGGCTATATCAGCTACAACACTATAATGGTTGAGATAATCGTCTGTATAGCACAGTCACCGCAGACCGGTTATACAGAGGGTTAAACAATCACAGCAGCGCTTTTTTAGAGGCAGGAATTCGTAAGTTGCAATAAAGAGCTATAGAAACAGTTCAACACTTTCAGAAGGAAAGATTTATTACTAAAAGGTCAAAAGGGTGCAATAAAAATATTTACAGAAAAAAGATGTAATATATATATATATATATACACATACATACATATACACACACACATACATACATACAGAGAACAACAGCACAGCAAAGAGGTAACAGAAAGGAAGTTAAAGGGTTAAAGTACTCAAGTTTCAAAGCAAAAGGGCACGTCTCCCAGGTTTGTTCTGATGTTAAAAGGAAGAATTCTTCCCTGCTGAACAAAAGATACCCACAACATGATGCTGCCACCACTATGTTTCAAGGTGAGAATGGTGTGTTCATGGTGGTGTGCAGTGTTAGTTTTCCACCTCATTAGCATTTTGCTTTTAGGCCAAAATTTTTAATTTTGGTGTCATCAGACCAGAGCACCTTCTTCCACATGTTTTTCTGTGTCCTCCGTATGGCTTCTCACAAACTGCAAATGGGACTTCTTATGGATTTTTTTCAACAATGGTTTTCTTCTTGCCACTCTTCCATAAAGGCCTGATTGGAGTCAAGGTTGGCTTACTCCTGGTTCCAATTAGCTCTGGGAGAAGTCATTAAGCTAGGGCCTCACATACTTTTTCCTCCCTGCACTGTGAATGTTTACATGTTATGTGCAATTAAACCATGGAAACATCTAATGTTTGTGTAGCATTATGTTCAGCAGACTGTGTTCTTCTATTGTTGTGACTTAGATGACGTTCAGAGCACATTTTATGCCCAATTCATGCAAAACTCCACGTAATCCCAAGGGGTTCACATATTTTTTCTTGCAACTGTATCAACCTATAGAGTAAGGAGGGTACACAGCAACATATGTAATCCATATAATTAGCAGATATCTTAATACCTTATTTCAGCCAATATATACATGTCTGCAGATATAAAGTCAAATTAAAAATCCCACAGAAAGAAAAAAACTGTCATGGGATGACCAGCACCTGTGATGAGTCACATATATAGAGGAGGCAGGTACATTAATATTATCAGATAACAAAGGATCATCCTTGTCCCATCTGCCTAATTTCAATCCCTCCTAAAATGTAATAGACCACACAGTCGGTCTTACTAAAGACATGCAGCATGGGTACACTCATCCATGTGGCAGTAACTTGAACCACTAATGGACAAGCCCCATATATCACCATAGCCACAAAAAATTCCTCACTAGCTATAGGAAACACCAAGTTTTGCACCAGTGTGTGCAATATTCCTTGCCCCAGCAAAAATCTTTGGGGAAAATTAACCATGTGTTCCCATAGAAAAAAGTGCTCCCAAAATCAAATAAAAGAAACCCTAAATGTTTCACTCAAAGACAGAGATTCATCAGGGGTGATATAACATGAAAAGAAAAATAATAAAGAGCAACAAAAATAAAAATAATCTCCAGGTCACATGGTGAGGAAATGGCATCTATTGTTTGTTTTCTCTCTTATTTATAACTTGGCCGGCCAAAGTGGCCGCCAAATATGTGCCATAATGACATCATCACGCACGTCACTACGCAAATGATTTCATGACGCCATCATTTCCACACTGACTTCTGCACATGCACAGTGTGAAAATAGATCGCCATCTTGAGGATGAAAAGGATAAATACCAAACCCAACATCACAAAGCCGGATCACTGGATTTTAACAACTGTCAGGAGGAGAGAGAAAAAGAACAAATCCCTTATATCTGTGTGAATAGACATGTATTTTTCATAGGGAATATTACCCATTATCCCACTATTACCTCTAACCCAGGGGCGGACTGACAACTCATGGGGCCCACGGGCAACAGGGGATCATGGGGCCCCTGTGTCCTTGCCCAAACTCAAAAAAGCCTATGATAAAAGGTACCAGGGGCATCTAATGGGGCCCCGGGCAGTGCCCAAGTTTCCAAATGGTCAGTCCGTCCTTGCTCTAACCATATCTTTTTGAACAAATCAGTGATTATTCCAATGATGTATAGGGTCATCCTCTCATCGCAAACCAGTCCTTACAATTATCTAAAAAAAGGCAAAATCAAAATCGCACATCAGAAACATTAGTAACATAAAAAAGGGTAAAAAAGGTAAAAACTTAATTTAGCCCATAAGGTGCCCGTGAATTTACACTAAAAATCCACTTGGCCTCAAGTTTAAGAAGATTTGTCCAGATCTCCCTTTCCTGGACCAAGATTAAAGTGTTCAATAAACCAGAACTGTAATAGTTCAGCTCGACCTCCATGTTATTGCAGTATATGCCTAGCGATCGGTCTCTTTTTTGGGCAATGTCATAGACAAGCTCTAATACCCTCTAAGTGGACAGATAGTCTTCCCCACATACAATACTGGGCAGGGGCATTTCATAGCGTACACAATCCCCCTCAGTACTACAATTATAAAAAGCTCTTATTTTTATCATTTTCTCCATTCATCATATTTTCAAATTCCTTGATAGTGGGGATATAAGCACAGGCTTTGCAATGTCCGCATTTTAAGCTACCCCTATGTCTACCTGGTAGCCAGGTATGCAGAGTGGATGTTCTTGGGAGCTTATCCAGATAGCTGTGTACTAACATGTCCCTAAGATTCCTATCGCTTCTAGGTAATTACAGGGTCTTTGGGGAGAATCTGAGATAAATATTTATCTTCATGCAGAACACTGTAATATCTTTGGGGAATACTGAACATTTGGCCTGACCGATTAGAATAAGTCTGCATTCCTGATTGGTCATCTCTCCTTATTCTTTTTGGACCAAGTAGGGACTCTCTTGAGACTGCATTCACCTTTTCAGAAGATTTTCTCAGATAATATAAGTGGTAGCCTCGTCTCCTAAATCTATCCACTATCTTAAGACTCTCAGCTTGAAAGGCTCCCTCCGTTGAGCAATTCCTCTTAGCACTCATGAATTTCCCAGTGGGGTACCGCTTTTCAGTAACATTGGATATTGACTTGTCCAACGGAGTAAACTGTTGGTGGAAGTCGATTTGCGGTAGATTGTTGTATTAATATCACCGCGGTCTCCTCTAGTGATTTTGAGCTCTAAGATATGAATACTAGTGAAGTACATACTGATGATATTCTCATTCAGATGGGTTAAAAATTCACTGAACACTTCCTTTTGACCCTGCCACAAGATGAAAATATCATCAATGAAACATAACCAATAGTAAGATGTGTGAGGTATATTGTTGCAGATCATCTGTAAAAACTATGGTATGCTCCCACCACCCAAGAAACAGATTTGCATAGATCGGTGCACATGACGAACCCATGGCAGTTCCTCTGTTGTGCCTATAGATCTTTTCATCAAATAGAAAAAAAATGATGCTCTAAAATGAATTTTAGCAGTTGAAGAATGAATTGTGTATGTTTTTGAAAAATTGTTCCTCTCACCTCTAGAAAAGACTTGCACACTTTAAGTCCAAGATCCTGCCCTATATTACTATAAAGGGCCTCCACGTCTAGGCTAGGCAGCCATACACCATCATCTATTGTTATTGCTTAGTTTATATACAAAATCCTCAATATACGATGACAAAACTAGAATACTATGGACGCAGGAAATAATCTATGTATTTGCTGGCACCTTCTGGGAGGTTCTGATTTCCCGATATTATGGGACGACCTGGAGGTTTAACAAACTGACAGCTAGTAACGCTGACACAGGGAGGGGGGGAAAAACAAGAATACAATCAGGCAGAGTATGCAACAGTGGGAACATTTTACAAAACAGGTGGAACATGTAACATGTTCCCAAAGGTGAACTCATTTAAGCTCCTCTCCTGAATGCATATTTTGGTAGGAGGGGGTAGTGGTTTTGTGGCATCCCAGTCTTAGTCTGTAGTGTTCAATATTGAGATGGCCCACCTTTTGACGTTATAAACAACTCAACTCTTCAAGGAAGGCTGTCTACAAGGTTTAGGAGTCTATTTAGGTGTCTATGGGAATGTTTGACCATTCTACCGAAAGCGCATTTGTGAGGTCAGGCACTGATTTCGGACAAGAAGGCCTGGCTTGCAGTCTCCACTCTAATTCATCCCAAAGATGTTCTATCGTGCTGAGTTCAGGACTCTGTGCAGGCCAGTCAAGTTCCTCCACCCCAAACTCATCACCCATGTCTTTATGGACCTTGCTTTGTGCACTAGTGCTCAGTCATATTGGAAAAGGAAGGGGCCATCCCCAAACTGTTCTCACAAAGTTGGGAGCATGAAATTGTCCAAAATATCTTGGTATGTTGACGCCTTAAGAGCTCCCTTCACTGGAACTAAGGAGCCAAGCCCAACCTCTGAAAAACAACTCCACACTTGGCACAATGCAGTCAGGAAAGTACCGTTTTCCTGGCAACCACCAAACCCAGACATGTCCATCGGATTGCCAGACAGAGAAGTGTGATTTGTCACTCCAGACAACATGTCTCCACTGCTCTAGAGTCCAGTGGCGACTTTCTTTACACCACTGCATCCGAGGCTTTGCATTGCACTTGGTGATGTAAGGCTTGGATACAGCTGCTCCACCATGGAAACCCATTCCATGAAGCTCTCTATGCACGGTTGTTGTGCTAATCTGAAGGCAACACAAAGTTTGGAAGTCTTTAGCTATTGACTCTGCAGACAGTTAACAACTTCTGTGCACTGTGCGCTGACCCTGCCCTATCATTTTTCATGGGTGAGTTGCTGTTGTTCCCAGTTGCTTCCACTTTGTTATAATACCACTAACAGTTGACCGTGGAATATTTAGTAGCAAGGAAATTTCACGGATGGACTTATTCCACGGGTGGCAACCTATCACAGTACCACACTTGAATTCACTGAGCTCCTGTAAGCGACCCATTCTTTCACAAATGTTTGAAAAAGCAGTCTGCATGCCAAGGTGCTTGATTTTATACACCTGTGGCCATGGAGGTGAGTGTAACATCTGAATCCAATGATTTGGAAGGGTGCCCCAATACTTTTGGTAAGTGTGTGTGTGTGTTTTAGAGAATAAATTGGTGGGTTTTGCTTTTTTATGTAACATGGTAATGACCTCAGCAGTTTTTCAGCTGCAATTTTGTGGGGAAAAAAATATACTTTTTGAATTTTAATGAAAAAAAAAAAATATAATACTAAACCCAATTTTTTGGTAAAATATAAAAGATTATGTTACTCTGAGTAAATAGATACCAAACATGTCACGCTTTAAAATTGATCCGCCCGTGCAGCGGCAACAAACATAAATTGTATGTGCACATAGGCTTGCATAGAGGTGCTTTTGCAGGCTGAGCAAAATCTCTCAACTCCTGGAAAAGTGGTGATTTTTTTTAAGCTTTGTGTGCATGAGGACTGAATCTATTCCTTAGATACAGTGGAGATGCAAGTATAGCAATGAAGGGATAGGAAGTGTGCTAGTTGCCATTATGGACTACAAAACACCTCTCCCATGTTATTAAGATGAGGGTGGAGGAGGTATTCTGTAGTCCAAATCATGAGTGAGCAATCTAGTGCAGACTTAAAACATTTTTAATACAGAGGACCTCTTATAAATATGGTTCTAGTCTTATGGAACCCCTGATAAAAATTACTTCATGTACAGTTAGGCCCTCTGAGGCCCTGTTCACACCTCAATTTTTTGGGATGTGTGATTTTTCATGCGACATGCAGACACGTGCAACAAACATGGCAAAGTAGCTCATGGAGCATTTTGCAGTGTTCCAGTTTGCACATTTTTTACAGCGTGTTTTGCCATGTTTGGCGCATGTTTTAGCACAAGGCAAAAGGCGAGTTTCGCCAAGTATGACATGTTTTTCAGGCGTTCACGGATTGCGAATGGAAGCATGCATTTCTGTGCACATTCCTGAAAACATGCAGAGGTGAATGGAGCCTTACAGATATAGAAAAGGCTCATTGGATTTTAAATCAGAAATCAGACAGAATTTGCTTGTTGCTCAAGGAAACCCCTAGCAACCTCTGGAGAAACTTTGGTTGAGAAAGGCTGGTCTAGGGTAACAACTATGGCTGCCACCTCATCCCTTTAAAACTGAACACACATTCATTACACAAGTTCCATGGCTGATTAAGGTGGTAATTAAACTCACTTAGTGCCTCTGAACCTGTGTAACTAATATATTTTCGGTTTTAAAGGGATAAGGTGGCAACACTAGTAACAACACTGCTCCTTCATAGATACAGTACAATGACTGTTGTCACCTAGGACAAGAAGTATGTTACTGGCAGGATCACCAGGTGAAAGTAAAGGAGAAAAAGCTTACCCCCACTTATGACGGACTATACCGGGCTAATTTCCCCACTGTTTTCCAAGATCTGACCGAGATGCAGTCCTCCTGGTCTCATTACCCACTTTCATGGTTTGGCAGAATCAATGCGATCCGTATGACCTATCTCCCTAAATTGTTGTATTTATTCCGCGTTTTACCAGTTCCTGTTCCTTTGCATATATTGCGAGTCCATCAGCGAAAACTTCTGTCCTTCATTTGGAGTTCTTCTCGACCCAGAATTAGTAAATATATTTTATTTGCGCGAAGGAGTGAAGGTGGGTTGTCTGTCCAAACCTCCAGGTTTATTACCTGGCAGCTAATATTGCCCCTCTAGCTCATATTCATGCATCTCACCATTTCCCATTGTGGGCTACTGTAGATTTGTTAGATTCCCATCCGATACCACTCTCTTCCTTACCGTGGCTTCCCTTTTCTCATCGTCCATGAACCCTTAGTCCGACTCTGAAGCTTTCGCTTCGTCTTTGGGATTCCATTAAATATTCCGCTGGCCTTATTTCTGCCCATTTACCGTTGTTACGCCTGTTACATAACCCGCTATTCCCTCCAGGTCAGGACAATCCTAGGCAATTTGCTTGGTGGCAAACACATGGTTTTTACGATGTACTTTCCCTACTATCTCCTACTCGCATACATACCTTTGAAACTCTGCGCTCTTCCTATAACATTACTTTGCGGGAACATTTTGGTTAACTTCAACTCCGTCATTTTGTTAACACACTAATACGAATGCACTCGGGACCTTACCGTTTGTCCCCCTTTGAAAGCCAGTGCAGACAAAGACCTCATGCTCCGGGTCTGATCTCTCTGGTCTACTCTGCCATTATTTCTTATAGAACCCCTCCGGTTTGTTCCTATCATCAACGTTGGCAGTCGGAACTTGGGGGGACTCTGGATCAACAGGATTGGCGGACTATGACCCAAGCATTAGCTAAATGCTCGAGGAATGTCATCATTCTTGAAAACGCCTACAAAATTCTTTATCGATGGTATTATACGCCTGTTCGTCTAGCTAATTTTATTCCCACATACTCTCCGGCTTGTTTCCAGGGGTGCCAACAATTGGGTACTATGGTTCACATTTGGTGGACTTGCCCTAAGGTTAGCAGATTGTGGATCAGGGTGTATGCCCTTCTCCGCACTATGTTACACGCAGACATTAAACCTAACCCGTATGAAGCGCTCCTATTTAAACCACTGGAGGGCCTTCTCCGCCCTGAACGGCAGCTGACATCACATTTATTTATGGCTACTATAATGACTATCACGAGGGCTTGGAAGACTCCTCTTCTCAGTTTCGAGGCTGTCCAAAATCGGATGAACTTCATAATGGTCAATGAAAAATTGACAGCTATACTGTTGGATACCCCATACAAAATTCCTGCAGGTATGGCGTCCCTGGCTGGCGGAAGCCCACCCATCGAGATTCGACCAGTCCCTAATGTCGATTTGAGGATCGATTCTGTTGCGATCACCCCGGAGCCCTCGTGATTGTCTTTGTTTTTATGTTTTGGTTTTGTTCTCATTTTTTTCATCGTTTGTTCCCCTCTATTCTTCTGTCCAATCTCTTCTTATGCGAATTGTAATGACTGTGATCATTGCTCTAAGTGCTACATTTGCAATACTGCCCATGCGATCCGGACTCCTTTGTGAGCCCAAGGTCTGGAATATATATGTTAATATCTGGAGGGACCTTTCCTCTGGCCTCTCCGGTTTTTAATACGCTGATATAGCAAAAATTTTCAGTGGAGTTTGCATTTTCATTGACCTCCAAATGTTTGCTCATTGTTTCCCCCTTACAGTTCTCCCCCCCCCCCTTTTTTTTTTTTTAAATTTTTCCCTGTCTTCCCTCACATGATACTTAAATGCTCAGATTACGCTTATGTTTATACCAGTATATTGTTCTGAAATATTTCTAAAAATGCCCTGTATGCCTCATATTTGTGTGTCAATGTATATCTTCCCCGAATGTGTGTACATTTCTGATTATTCTATAATAAAACCCTTTGTAAAAGAAAATAAAGGAGAAAAAGGCTTAGAAAAAAAAAAAACATGCAGTCAACACATCAAAAGGTACAATGTATTACATCGGTGGGAGTAAACAATGCCCCATCATTGGTATTAGGGGGAGTAATAGTGCCCCTTTGCTAGTATCCATGGAAAGAATAGTGCTGCATCAATAGTGTCAGTGGGAGGAATAGTGCCCCATCATTGGTGTCCATGGGAGGAATAGTGTCTCATCATTGGTATTAGGGGGAGGAATAGTGCCCAAACATTGGTGTCAATGGAAGGAATAGTGCCCCATCATTCGTATTAGAGGGATGAACAGTGCCTCTTTGTTGTTAACAATGTTAGGAAGAGCGCCCCGCCGTTGGCGAGAGGAAGAGCGCCCCGCCGTTGGCGTCGGCGGGAGGAAGAGCGCCCCACCACTGACGGTGGCGGGAGGAAGAGCGCCCCACCACTGACGGCGGCGGGAGGAAGAGCGCCCCACCACTGATGGCGGCGGGAGGAAGAGCGCCCCACCACTGACGTCAGCGGGAGGAGTAGCGTCCCACCATTGATGTCAGTGGGAGTAGTGCCCTATCTTTGGTATCAATGGGAGGAATAGTGTCCCTTCATTGGTGTCAGTGAGGGAACTAGTGCCCCATTGTTTGTGTCAGGAACTATGCCCCACTGTTGCTGACAGTGGGGGGAATAATGACCCAAGGGCCAGATAAAAGCAAGCAAAGGGTCCGATCCGACCCCCGGGCCACAGTTTGAAGACCACTGGTGTCAATGGAAGGAATAGTGCCCCATCATTCGTATTAGAGGGATGAACAGTGCCTCTTTGTTGTTAACAATGTTAGAAAGAGCGCCCCTCCACTGACGGCGGCGGGAGGAGCAGCGCCCCTCCACTGACGGTGGCGGGAGGAGCAGCGCCCCTCCACTGACGGCGGCGGGAGGAGCAGCGCCCCTCCACTGACGGCGGCGGGAGGAGCAGCGCCCCTCCACTGACGGCGGCGGGAGGAGCAGCGCCCCTCCACTGACGGCGGCGGGAGGAGCAGCGCCCCTCCACTGACGGCGGCGGGAGGAGCAGCGCCCTATCTTTGGTATCGATGGAAGGAATAGTGTCCCTTCACTGGTGTCAGTAATGGAACTAGTGCCCCAGTGTCAGTGTTGCTGACAGTGGGGGGAATAATGACCCAAGGGCCAGATAAAAACAAGCAAAGGGCTTTAATCTATTAAAAAGGAGGAAAAGATGTTTTGTGTTTAGTTCTACGCCTGGGGGAGGGGTAGATTAAAGTAAACCTGTTGCTTTGCTGTTTGTGAACAAAGCACACTAAAAGCACAAATGCACTCTTTGGTAGGACCAGATCTCCACAGGCCTGCAATGAATCTGAAAACTGCAGCTCCGCAGATTACACTAACCAGCAATTAATAGAATAGGCCTCGTCTACAAAGCCTCACCTGTGTTTAGCCTCCTTAAAGAGCTCGGTGATCCACCTCACCCGGTCCACACCCGGCTCTGCCCCTTCCGTACAGCTTATCTCCCATGCCTCCAGCTCTCCGCACACGACTGTCAGATGTTCCCTGGGCGCCGCCATCTTTCCCAAGA